CTTACTCCGCTTGTTTTTGATTGCCATACCTTGGTGTATTATTTTTCCCATCCTTTGAATTTTAGTTTATTTTTTGTCATTGTGTATAAGGAGTGTCACTTATACAAGTGTCACTAATCAAGAGAAGATGGAAGAAATACACAGAGTTACTGTGCAAAAAGGAAATGGTTAATGTTCAACCGTTTCAAGAGGTAACATATAATTAAGAGTCAATGATACTGAAGGAAGAAGCCCAAGGTGTATTGAAGGAATTGGCATATTCTGTTTTCTTATCCATTCTGTTACTTGTCTCTTGACTGGTGTATTTAATCCATTGATGTTCAGTGTAATTATTGATCAGTATGAATTGATTGCTGTCATTTTGCTGTTTTAATTTAAAAAATTTTTATATGGTGTTGCTAGTTATTTTCCACATAAATTCCGCTGATGAGTTTATTTTGTTTGTGGATTTTCTTTTCATTTCTGTTGTATCGTTGTTGTGTTGTGAAGTGCCATCGAGTCGGTTCCGACTAATAGTGAACCTGTATAGGGTTTCTGAGCAGCAGCTGGTGAGCTCGAACTACTGACCTCACTGTTCAAACTGACTGTGCAGTCCAGTGCAATAACGCACAGTGCCACACCAGCTATTAATGTTTATTAAATCTTTCTTAGTTTTCTGTTTTTAATTTCATTGTGAAGGTGCATTGATTTCCTTTTAGATTACTCTGTAATTTATTTTTTCCTGTTTAAAAACAGTCTGTTTTATCTTGAAATCTGTTTGACTTCTTTGCCATTTGGAGGTTCTATATCTACACTATTCTTTCTGTTTACTTTGTAGTTCATTCCTTATTTACTTTGTAGTTTATTCCCTATTTCCAGTCTTGTATGTTTGGTTTTACTTTGGATACTTGGAGGTATAGGATAAGCACTGGATTGTTAACCACTTAGTCACGGTTCAAACTGACCATCTGCTCCTCAGAAACTGTATACAGGGTTGCTGTGAGCTGATTCCAACTTGATGGCAGTTAACAACAACAACATATCTGGGTTGAGTTCTGGGTGGTTTGTTAGGTGTCATTCTCAGGTTGTTGTGTGCTATTGTAACAACTTAAGTGTTTTTTGTAAAGTTGGTTATTACAAATTCCTTTAATTTCTGTTTATCTGAAATGTCCTAACTTCACCATTGTATTTGGGATGCTTTGATGAGTTTATGACTCTTCTTTGTTACTTTTTTTCCCTTTTTCTTTTTGAGTTTTGTGTATGTCTCCTTACTGCCTTTTTGGCTGCAAGATTTCTGCTGAGGAATCAGCGTTTAGTCTTACTGGATCTCCTCTGTAGGTAAATTTTCTTTGTTCCTGAACTGTTCTGAGGATTCTTTCCTTATTGGTTTTAGTAAGTTTGATTGTGATGTGTCTTGGTGACTTTCTTTTGTGGGGTCTGCCCTGTAGGGGTTTGTTCAGCTTCTTAAGTGGTTATCTTCTTGTGTTTCATGGTGGTAGGCATGTTGGTTTCTGGCAACTCTTTGACAGTTTCCTCTGTGCTTTTTAGTGTTTCTTTCTTTTCTGGAAATCCAGTCACCTGTAAGTTATTCTTCTTCATGGTGTTCCACATAAACTTCAGGCTTTCTTGTAAGTTTTTCATTATATTTTTTTTTGGATTATTCTAGTTTACAAGTATTGAGAGATTCATCTTCAGGCTCACTAGTTTGGGCTTTCATTGATTCATCTCTACCCCTTTGTCCTTTTAGAGTAAGATCTAAGATCTTAATATTCTGGACTTCTATTTGCAGATTTTATATTTTTCAGAATCTGCATTTATTTTGACTGCTTGTTCTTATAGTATTTTCCTAAGTTCTTTTAAAGTTTTTTCTGTATTCACCTTGCTTTCCTGGATCTTCCTTTCAATCCACTTATGGTACCTAAATATCATTCTGATTGTTTCTCAAGCTGTTTAATTAGTGTTACTTCCTCAGAAATGCTTTCTGACTCTGCATCTTGATCATTTGTTGAGCCACCCTCTGTTTCTTTGTGTGAGCTGAAACCTTCTGCTGTCTCTAAGATATTTTGTGTTATGTTTGCGTTTAATTTATGAATGCTTGTTGGGGTGTTCTTAGGCTCTGCCTACTGTCTCCTGGTGGGTGTGATCCGAGAATGGAAACATGTGCACCATTTTCTGTTCACCATTTATGCACATATAGGAAAAAAAATAGAACAAACCATCAAATAACAGTGAAAAGAGAATATATTAAAAGAGAAAAAGGAACAAACAGATACAGCAACAAGAAAAAAATAACATAATTACTAAAAAAGAAAAGAGGCAAAAGGAAATAGAGCTATACAAGAGAAACTAAAAGAAAAAAAAATACTAGACAAATACAAAGAGAGGGAAGATAAAAAGAGAAAGAGACTGAGGAGTAGTAAAGAAAAATTATTAGAAAAAATAGGCTTCAAATGAGAAACAAGAAAAAACAAAAATAGAGATGTTGTTGTTAAGTGCCGTCAAATCAGTGTCAGATTGATAGATTAAAAATCAAGGGAAGGGAAAGAAAAGATGAAGGAGAAGAAAGAATAAGCAGACACAAACAACCAAAAATGAAAGGAAAAGTAAACAAACAAACAAAAAAAGTGCAATTATTGGACCCAGAGAGGAGATAACTCTGGGCTCCTATTGCCAACCAAGGAACTCAAGTAGTTGTTGAAGTTGAATTGTGATGGCTGAGTTTCCAGCACTTTTGTCTATGTTCAGGGCTCCCAATGTGGAAGTCATTCGTGGAGGTCCTTCAGGTTGCTAGTTCCAGTGTCTGCCAGAACCAGAGGGCAGCTGGGGGCAGGGTAGCTGATTATGAAGTTTCCTATTGGTCTAATTTGGGCCTGGAGATGTGGGTTCTGCAAAAACTTCATTTTGAGGTGTTAAAGCATCCTCCCTATAGTCCTGATATTGCACCATCAGACATTCACCTGTTTGGTCTCCTGAAAGCAACTTTTTGAGGATGAAGGTTCACTTGTGATGAAGAAGTAAAGGCAGGGGTGCAATTGTGGCTTGAAGTTCAGCCTAACATCTTTTTACATAAGAGAATATGAAAGCTTGTTGATAGATGGACAAAGTGTTTGAGAAGCAAGAAAATTATGCCGAAAATTGAAATATTTGTCTTTTCTAAAATTTAATTAAAATAAATTCTACAGCCAGAGTGTGGATAATTTTTGACTCACCCTCAAATAATCAGTGAAAATCAAATAGCAGCATTGATTGGACATTTGCTGTGGCTTGAAAAATGTTGCTATAAAATAATTCGGCATAAAGCAAAATGTTTTCTGTAAATATATCTATAGCAGTGTTTTTTTTTTTTTTTCCTCTGTATTTTAAAAAGTTCAGGTTATATATTAAGATGGAGGAGCTATTGGAATTAAGTAATCAGTTATCTATTTGTTGTTGTGTTTTTTTTCCCCTTGGGGAAGGTAGCAGATAATCAAATCAAAAGTGGTGCAAAATGCCAAAGAATACTCAGTATATGTTTAGGAAATGATCATTTAAACTAACATGTACTTCACTGATATAGGCTGTGATGAGATGATCACTTAATAGTATAACCATGACAAGTCCACAGGAATTTCAGACTACTGTGTCCTTTCCTTCTTGGTTGTACATGCACATGCATCATCCCCCACCCCCCATGACAATTTATTGTACAAAGTTAAATGAAGATGAGAATTCAGCATCACATGAAAAGAAATGGTGGTGGTGGTGATGGTGTGCTGTGTAGTTGGTTCCGACTCACAGTGACCCTGCACAGGGTTTCTGAGGCCATAAATCTTTACAGGAGCAGAAAGCCTCATCTTTCTCCCGCAGAATGGCTGGTAGTTTCGAGCTGCTATCCTTGAGGTTAGTAGCCCAATTGGTAACTACTACACTATCAGCATCCTATGAAAAGCAAATAGAATACCTTAAAATAAAAGACCATCCGAACTTAAATAGGATACTACTTATAATCTCTTAGTCATCTAAAAAGCTTATCACATGAATTTCTTTGAAAATTTGAAAAAGCTTTTGAAATAAACCATTCTGGTGCATTGAACAGGAGCCCTGGTGGTGTGCCAGTTCAGTGTCCATAGTTAACTGAAAGCTGGGTGGGTCAGACCTACCCTATCTGGCAATCTGTTTCCATAAAGATTATAGCCTGGAAAAGCCTCTAAACAAAAATACAAGAAACAAAAACAAAAAACCCTAAACAAACAAAAAACAAAACCCCTACTTTTTAGTAGTGGTTATGTGCTGTGGCGTTAGTTCAAACTCATAGCAACCCTGTACTGGGGTTTCCGAGGCTGTAAATCTTTACGGGAGCAGAAAGCCTCATCTTTCTCCAGTGGAACAGTTGGTAGTTTCGAACTGCTGACCTTGAGGTTCGCAGCCCGATTTGTAACCACTACGCTACCAGAGCTCCTAACTCATTTTTTAGACATAATTAAAATTCAAAAAGTAAATTTCAGATGAAAATGATGATTGAATAATCAGTTTTCAAACCCCAGATTGTTGAAATATTAATGGCCTTAGAGTTTTTCAGGCTACACACACAAATAAGTTATATTTTTAGATTATTTCTGGGGTTCTTTTAGGTAATATGCTACATGTAGGAAAATGATTTGCCTTCACTTGTTTAAGATGTTCAACTGAGGAGTCTTATAGTTACATTTCTGTGTTGTTGTTTC